ATGCTCTCCCATACATGGGATGCCTTTTCATTTTGATGACTGTATCTTTTGCTGTGCAGAAGCTTTTGAGTTTGATGTAGTTCCATGTGTTCATTTTGTCCTTTGTTTCTATTGCCTTAGGTGATGTATCAGTGAAAATTCTGCTGTGTATGATGTCCGAAATTTTGTTGCCTACATTTTCTTCTAGGATTTTTATGGATTTATGAGTTACAGTTAAGTCTTTTATCCATTTTGAGTTTATTCTTGTGTATGGTATAAGTTGATGGTCTAATTTCATTTTTTTGAATTTTAGAACTATATATATTCAGTTAACTATCAACCTGTTTAAGGTATAAAGTATTTCCAATCTCCAGAAAGTTCTCACAAGCTTCTTTTAGCCAGTCCCCATCAACATAATTGATTAGAATTCTAACACCATAGAGTAGTGTTACCTTCTCTTGAATTTTATAGAACTGGAATCATACAATGTGTACCATTTTATATTTGGCTTTTTCTCTTAACATAATGATATCGAGATTCACTCATGTTTTACATATATCATTTGTTCATTCTTTTCATTGTGGAGGAATGTCCCATTATGCAAATATACCACAATTTCTCATTCATTCACCTATTGATGGATATTTGGATTCTTTCCAATTATTGTATAGTATTAGAATTTTTTGTGGATATTAGTTTTCCTCATTGAATTTTTTTAAATGACCTGGAAAAGTTACTTTACTTTTTTATTTTATTTTCACCAGGAATACATATTTAATTCCTCTCTTTTAGGCTATCCTCTTCTGCTAGGTTGTAATTTTCATAAGGAAAAGGATTATATCTTTCTACCTGTCTTCTGTGCTGTCTAGTATGTGACACATGCAAGCTCTCAGCCTGTAAACATTAGCTGAATTAAACTGTCAAATCGCTGCTTAGGACATCAACTCTGAGAACCCTGTTTTGATTCACAAAACTAACCTGTTAGCACTCATGAACATTGTACTGTATTCTGTCCTTTCTGTGACTTTTCTTTGCAGGTCTCTGGGTTTATATGTCTCCTTCCCTCCTTAGACACCCCGGTTTGTATTTTCTTTATGAGATTCCACAGGGACCTTCGGTGGACCCTGCTTCCTAAATGCGGATGGCTGCTTCATCCACCTAATCCCAAGATAGAACGCATACATACACACCATGAAATCTAGGGAGAAAGCTCATGTCAGGGGAGAAGGCTGGAATAACTCTGTTCAAATGCATCACTTTATAAAATTCTCTCCCTGAAGAAAGAGGGTAAAATATGAAGGCGCAGAAACAGTGTATGTCAGAAGACACTACAGTGCCCCGAACTTTCCACTAACATGTACTTCTTTGATTCTCAAAATCACACCACCAAAGAATCGCAGGATAAGCCTGGAAAAATCTTCCAATGAGTTAAATTATAAATCTTACCAGCACATGAGGACAAAAGTTAAAATTTCTGGTTTCTCGCAGAGGTACAGCATGACAGAAATGATTTCACTTTAGACCACGTGTATAGTGCTTAAATTTTAGTGTGCAAAAAGGAACCTGGGATTGCTGGAGAATTTAGATTCTCAAACCTCACGTTCAAGTGTTCTCATTCAGTAACTATGGCACAGTAATTGCATTAAAAATGTTTGTAATCCTCACCAGAGGATATTTTTCTATTTATCTTCAGAGAGAATGGAAGGGGGAGAGAGAGAGAGAGAGAGAGAGAGAGAGAGAGAGAGAGAGAGAGAGAGAGAGAGAGAAAACATCGATGTGAGAGAGACACTTCGACGGGTTGCCTCCCGCATGACCCTGACCAGGGCTGGGGACTGAACCACAATTGAGATACATGCCCTTGACCAGATTCGAACCTGTGACTCTTTGGTCCGAAGGCCAACACTCTAACCACTGAGCAAAACTGACAAGGGCTGGAGTAATTGCTTTTTAAATATATGTACCAGGTGACTCTTTGGCAGATGTTTAAACTTTTGCTACTCCAACTGGTCCCTGGACTAGCATTTTCAGCATGATCTGTGAGCCTGGTTAGAAATGAAATATCTTGCAGCCTCCCTAGACCTCCCAAACCAGAATCTGCATTTTGAGAAAATCCCTAAGTGATTCTTATGCCCTGTATATTTGAAAAAGTACAGCTCTAAGTACTCTAAATGCTGGGAAAAACACTAGTACACAAACCAACTATTGTTGGTGTTCTGCTGACTCTTCGTTGATTATTTCTCTTCTCCTAGAAAACTCTAATTGTATGGTAACACAACATAAAAACAACAACAAGTGACATTTACATTAGTTAAGCACTCACAAGTCCACACTAAATGGTTCCCATGATAATTTCATTTCACAGTAACTGGGAAGTATTGTCAGCAATGAGAGAGAACATACCCTTGGGGACTGGACAGGCCTGGGTTTGAATCTTGAGTTTTTTTGTTGTTGTTTACTTGCTAAGAACATAACCTTGAATATACTTTGTAATCGCTCTAATTATTAGGATTGCTCCTTTGGAAATAATATCTCCACTGCAGAATTTGGTGAGAAGTAAAAGAAAAAGAAAAAGAAACACCCATGAAGTGACTTAGCGCATGGTAAATGGTCAGGTTTCTCATTTGGGGATCCATGTAAAATACACATGTAGCCCTGGCCGGTTTTGCTCAGCGGTTAGAGTGTCGGCCTGCGGTACAGAGAGACCTGGGTTCGGTTCCCACTAAGGGCACGTACCTCGGTTGCAGTTTGTCCCCGGCCCTGGTTGGGCCCTGCGGGAGCAGCCACTCAATGTGTCCCTTTCACATCATATTTCTCTCTCTCTCTCTCTCTCTCTCTCTCTCTCTCTGTCCTTCCCACTCTATCTAAATAAAAATCCTCGGGTGAGGATTAAAAAATAAATAAAATACACATGCAGCCCTGGCCGGTTTGGCTCAGCAGTTAGAGTGTCGACCTGCGGTGCAGAGAGACCCAGGTTCGGTTCCCACTAGGGGCATGTACCTCGGTTGCGGTTTGTCCCTGGTCCTGATTGGGTCATGCGGGAGGCAGCCACTCGATGTGTCCCTTTCACGTCAATGTTTCTCTCTCTCTTCCTCTCTCTTCCTCCCACTCTATCTGAACAAAAAATGGAAAAATGTCCTCTGATGAGGATAAAAAAAAAAATACACATGCACACCCCCTATACCCTGCCCTCCATGCTTGTTATTATTCTTTTTGTTCTTTTAATGACATACTTTAAATATAAGTTCATTTCTTTTCATTGTAGTGCCTTTTATTCACATTTTCTGAGTGCTGTACTTTTTTCTCAATCAGAGAACATTCTGGCACAAATCAAGTCTTTTCTTCAACGTGCCACTTGCTCTACCACAACCCTCTTTGTATTTTGTTCGCTCACACTGAACCTACAGTGGCTGGCAACATGTGTGCAAGTGATAGATCTGACCCAAATAAACAAAGGGAGCATATAATGCTGGTTATTAAAATGCTAGTTTCACATCAAGCAGCTTATAAGGAGGCTGTTGGGGAGCAGATGGTGGAGCTCATCCCGCACAGAGGGCTAGGTGTGCAGCCTTTGACACTATGAAGGCATCATAAGCTTCGTTGCACCCTGGGAAGCTGATCAGCAGTTATATGAATGGAGCTGGAAGAAACTAGCCCTGGAGGCAGGTCATGACCTTAGAGTTTTAAACAGAATGAAAGATAACTTGACAAAGTAATTCTGAGAACACAGCTCCACTGTGACTAGACTATAATAATATCACACAACACGAATCCAGGCAGTGTTCCTAGTTTCAGAAATGTATCTCCCGACTAGACAGTCAGATACGGATTCCTTTCTCTGTAGTCAGCTTGCTGATACAAAGGTGTCAGAGGTAGTAAAGCTAGCAGGACAGCTGAACTCACATCCTTAGGACATGAATGCCATTCAAAACTTGAATCCGAATCAATGTATACAGAACCATGCAAAGTAATTATTTCCTAGCATGGCCATGAAATTTCCATGACCACCTGCCTTTGCCGAAAACCAAATTATCTTGTCATCTGGGGCTTTCTTCACACATCTATTGTTGAAATAATTTGTTTCAATTAAGGCAGAGAATGTAACTTATTTATATATTTATCTGCAACAAGTAGCACCCGACCCGGTACAGAAAAAGTCCTCAAAAAGTTTTTTTTATTTTTAACTGAACTAGAAGCAAGAATACAGGTTGTAGAAATTGAGATTCTCTGACCCAAAGAAGAAAAATGTGATATTAAAATATGATTTCTTTCTATCACAATTTTATATGATGTGAAAATATTTTAATTATTAATATTAGAAGATTAATCTCCAATTTCACCGTATCTGGATAAAATGGTTTACTATTACACTAAGAAGGAGTTTAATAAGTTTAAAATGCACCCATATACATATACTCATACACATCCAGATATATAAAGATGATTTAGGCACAGTGTAATATTTTCTGGGGGAAAATAAAGTGACTGATTTCTTTTTAAATAATAGCAACCCTATTTAAATGATTTGGAAGGTCAACTATGATATAAAATTATATGTATCCTGCATAGTCACACCACCAAAGAAAACCACTAGGCCAAGTTCTATTTATCATATTGTTCAACTGCACACTTTGAAATTCCAATTTCTATTCATGACTCAATTCCTTGTTTTTTTCATTATTCTTTTGTTTTACTCATGACATGATCCCTGTCACTGTATATGACATATAGCATTGGTTCATCTTAAAGTTGAAAACTAGTGATCCTTGAGTCACACTCAAACCACAAATGTGTTCTGTTTGGAATGCAAAATATTGAAAACATTAGTAATATTTTTTAAAAGTCTCAGTATTTTGTAAATTTTATCCAAAAATCTTATGTCTTTAATGTTACTAGTAATATTTGACAACAACATTAAGTTGCACAGAAGAACTTCAGTGACAAAAATAGTCTAAGTTGTAACTCGGCATTTACTATGGAATGATTTAATACATGCATCCACTTAAAAATATTTACTTATTTATTTTTGTATGAAATGCTTCATGAGTCTGCGTGTCATCCTTGCACAAAAGCCACGCTTGTCTTCTCTGTATCATTCCAATTTTAGTGTATGTGCTGCTGAAGTGAGCACTAAAAATATTTATTCACTGTTTTTCATCTAAAAATATTGCATGAAACAGTAGAAATACCATATTAAAAAGCAGAGAGACTCTGCTTTTCTGGAGCTTATATCCTAAAAAGATACATAGTCAGTAATTATTTAAACACTCAGTCCCTTATAATATTTGCAATAACTGCCATAAGGAAGAAAGAGAGAAATTATCTCATGGAATGATGACCTAGTCTTGGTTTAGGGTTAGGAGAGAATAAAGGAGTTATTGAGGTCATACTCAATTGAATTCTGAAGGATAAATAGAAGACATTTAATTTAAAATGGAAAGAAGAATCACATTGAGAAACATCATGTGCAAAGGCTCTAATTGAGGAGAAAGCAAGTCATAGGCAAGGAACCAAGAGAAGGCCAGGGTAGTTGAAAGAGAAAATACTAAACACGTGGGAAAATAAGCTACCTATGGGAGTGTCAACAAAAACAATGAACTAAAGAATCACAAAAATAAGTACTGCAGAAATATTACCAGATATAAAATATAAAATACTTATTTTCAAATGTTAAACTATTAACCTGCAAAAGTGAAAGTAATGAAGAAGCAAGGGCTTCTGTGCAAGAAAATAAATAGAAAGAAGAAAAAATATCAAACCTGCAGAAAGGATTGGGAAAGCTAATATATGCAATGTTGAAAACCTAAAATCTTCCCCTTAAAAAAAAGACAAAGATGCCAAAGCCCATTTTAACTATTTATAATCAACATTTCACTGGAGGTATTAGCCTGGTCAATAAGAAAAGAAAAATAAATACAGAAAGGAAGCAAAACTGTCATTATTTTCAAACGATGTGCTTGTCACTATAGAAAGTGCAAATGAATATATAGATGATATATTTAAATCAATGCTAGAATTTATCAAGTTTGCTAAATACAAGATCAATAAAAAAATCAATTGCGTATCTGCCTATTACAAAAAAAAAAAAGAAAATGAAACTCAAAAATGTCATTTACAGTAACATAACAAAAATCAAAGATTGCAGGATTGAACATAATAAAAGATATTCAAAACCTTTAGGTAAAATTTATGTGTTATTGTGAGACATTTAAAAAGTACTGATCTGAAGTAGGCAAACCTGATGTCATAAAATTATCAATTTTCCTCCAATAGCTCTATAGATTTGATGAAGTTATAAAGCAAACTCTCATTGGTGTATTTCAAAGAACCTGACAAGCTGATTCTAGAAGATTTATGGAATAGCAAAGAGCTCAAAGAAGCTAAGATATGCTGAAGAATGACAGGTAAGATTTCTAATACTAATTACAGTAGTATGATGTTGGTATAGAATAAATCAAGGTTACAGAAAAAACCTGGAAACAGATCAAACATGGAAACTTATTTTATGCTGTGGCTGGTAATGCAAATCAATATAAAAATGTTAAAATATTCAAAAAATAGGAATGGAACAATTTGTTATGTATATGGAAGAAAACAATTAAAATGTGTTCCTAATATATGCAAAAGTTAATTTAAGCTTAATCAAAAACAAATTTAAACATAATTTTTTAGACTTTTAGAAACAACATAGAATAATTTTTGTTCAGCTCTCAAAATTATAGAATTTCCTAAACACCCACAAAAATAAAGGACACAAAGGGAAAAATTGAGAAACTTAACTACAATAAAATTCTGAATGTTCATTAAATTGTAGTATTTAAAGACAATTAAGAAAACCACTTATGGGGAAAGATATTTGCAGCATACTTAACTGACAAAAAATTTGTTTCCATAATTTGGGAATGATTAAACAAATCAGTAAAAGATATAGTAATTCACTTTTTAAAATAAGCGTAAGATTTAAAGAAGATCTCCACAAAAGAAGAAATATAAATTACCATTAAATATATGAAAAGGTGTGAAATCTCATTAATAAACAGAACAATGCAGAAGAATACACAGTAAATTACCATATCACAGACAAAAGATTAGCAAAAACTAAAAATTCTGAACTACTGTGTGCAATCATGTATGCACTATGGATTAAAAATAGGCTCAATCTCTAGTTCAGCATTTGTCAAACAGAAACTATTCCACACAGGCACCAGGAGATACGTATAAAATATTTGTAACATCACTGTTGACAGGAGGGGAAAAAAAACACTAGAAATCTCCTGAAGCTCCTTCAACAGTAAACTGAATATATAAAGCAAGAAGTAGTCACAAAAGAGAATAGTGTATGGCCATGAAAATCAATCATAGCTACTTGATCAACAGAAGTTCAAGTTTAAAAAAAGCAAACATTACAGAGCACGATTTCATGATTCTATTTATATAAATTTTAAAAAATGCAACTAAGCAATTAATTGTTCAAAGATATATATTTTTTGACATATATATGTAGAAAACTATTAAAACAGTTATTAACACAATAGTCAGAAAATAGTCACTTTTGGTGGGGATGGCTGGAGAAGACAGGGTTGGGAGGGTCATTTTCAATGGTGGTGATAATGGTGATAATGGTCTAATATATAAAGGATATATTGATGTTTATTTTTTATTATTCTTTATAATATATACATATATTCCATGCATTCTTTTGTAAGACATATTTCACAATTTTAAAATTCCATTTTAAAAAATTACAATAGTAGGATGATACTTGGGTTTTAAAAAATCACTTGTGAAGTATTAAAATTTTCTAGGAAAGAAGTCATGATGTCTTATCCTAGCGGAGACAGAAAATAATGCATGACTAAATAGATAGGTAAAGTGTATTTTTTTTAAACAAGTATTTGTTGCTTTAATATTGTGATCGAATAACACTAATTTCTAGAATGATTCCCAATTTTTGACCTTGTTCAACTCAATGGATGTTGGAGCCATTTATTTTTTTAAAAAGAAGAAGAAATACCAAAGTAGATTTAGGAAAGTAGTTTTTAAATTCACGTACTTTAGTCTGGCCAGTGTGGCTCAGTGGTTGAGCGTTGACCCATGCACCCAGAGGTCACCAATTTGATTCCCGGTCAGGGCACATGCCCAGGTTGTGGGCCAAATCCCCAGTGGGGGGCATGCAGGAGGTGGCCAATTGATGTTTTCTCTCATTGATGTTTCTCTCTCTCCCTCTCACTTCCTCTCTCTCTAAAAATCAATAAAGAAAAAAAAATTTTTAACTCATGTACTTTTGATAACTTGGACTAACTATATATTTAGCTCCATGACTATTTGCTAAAGAAATGATAGTATAGTCTTTGAGCACATATGCTGTTACTCATCTCTAGTTAGAATTGCCAGTCCTAATCATTTTAATAGCTTGAACTTTCAAATGGAGTCCATAGTGCATACTTGTTTGCACATATGTTCAAATGAACATATGCAAATATCATTTTATACTCGAAGTTCGTGTCACTTATCAATTTATTTCCTCTTGACTCCAAATCCACCTCTTTTTTTGCTATGCTTTGTAATAGCGAAGCTGGACCTTAGTAACATTTTTTCTTTGCATCTGGAATGATGTTAATTAAGCTTTGGCCCTGGTAGAAACAGTGCTAAGGAAGTGACTTCTTTTCCTGGTTCTAGTGGGCTTTGCTCTTCTTGCTCCTGTAGCATTTGGCTGATGTGCAGAAGGATCATGGGCCCTCACCTGCAGGTGAATTACAGTGGTTCCCCAGAGAGTGGTTGCGCGGCGAGTTGTAGCGGTGCCTTAAAAGTAGCTTTTCTGTGGCTTTCACCAGTACCCTACCTGGCAGGTTCCTGCTTTCCAGCCCTGTCCTGCAGCAACTTGGCACATTTCTCCACCATTCAGGGCACCGAAGTCACCTTTTCTCCAATAAAGTCTGAATTCCGACCTTGCTTGAGGGTGGGGAACATCTTCCAAATGTGTTCCTTCTTTGGGTACTGGGTCTTAGTCTCCTACTCTTGAATTCTTTCGCGTTCTCTACATTTCTTCATCGCTAATCCGTTTTTATTTAATAATGCTTTGCATTTGAACTTGCTTTATTTAATTTGCCGTGTGATTTCTATCTCTTCCCTAGACGCTGACAGACGCAGAGGTCAATCTCTTTTTGTGAGAAGTGCCCTATAATTTTCAAGAACTACCTGACCTGTCTCCACTTCTGGGTTCATTGGTATTCTAATACCTTCTAATCAAAGGCTAACCTAGAATTGTGTTTGAATAATATCTGCTTTCCTTTACCTTTGTCAGGTTTTGTACCTTCCACAGAATGACTCCGGCAGTTTTCTCTGTCTTGGTGGCGGGCAGATTACTTTGGAAGTGTCCTTCGGAGTCAGAATGCTCGCATTCCCTCTGGGTGTGCTTGTGGATCAGAAAGCTTCATGTTTTCTTTGAACAGTGAAAACAAATAGTAAAAGTTAAATTTTAAAAGCCAAAATATTTCAACAGATGGTATATGTGCCACAGAGAATAAATGTTTACAATCATCATAAATGAATGTTGCTAGAGTCGCAGTATTTTTTTTCTCCAAATCAGACTTTATTCTAGGAGATAAGTAATAAGTAAACTCGTCATCCACTGATTTTGCCTTCATTTGCCACTGTGTTTCTGTTCTTTGGAAATGAAAGGCCTTCTTTCTTTTTCCTAAATGATTAATGGCACATACTAATCAAGTCTCTCTTTTTTCATAGTTCATTGCAAACGTGAGAAATATTGTCAGCAACTAAACAAACCTTATGGTGTTGCCTGATTTCTCCCAATTTTTGTGATTTTACCCAGCATCTAAATGATAATATTTTTTTAAATGAAATAAAAGAAGAAAACTAGCATCGAGGTTTTGATTCTGATCTATATTCCTAAGGCTGAAAAAAACATAATTAAAATAAGTTGTTTCCAGAATTTACCTGATAAAATTGTTTGCATTTGTAAGATCCTATCAAAATTCATTTAAAGAGCAAATTAAAATTTTTCTCTTAATAATTGTTGTTCCACTTTCTGATTAGGCCAAATGTGAATAAGCTATATTTTACCCATTGTATTTCTCTTCTAACCTTACTGTACTGTTTGAACAACAAAAG